AGCAATATCTAAGAAAACTATATATGTTTTTAAACTTGTGACACAATGATCCCATTTTAGGAATTTACCCAAACATACACTTCCAACACACACAAATAATATACAACAAGGGTAGTCATTGCAGCACTATTTGTAAAAGCAAAATATTGGAAACAGCATAAAAGAATGATTCAGAGGAAGACCCAAGATGGCGGCATGAGTAGGGCAGCGGAAATCTCCTCCCAAAACCATACATATTTTTGAAAATACAACAAACACAACTATTCCTAAAAGAGAGACCAGAGGATACAGTACATCTACTGTACTGCTACATCTACATCTGAGAGAACTTAGCATCTCACGAAGGGGGTCAGATACAAGCCACAGCCCAGCGGGACCCGAGCACTACCCCCACCCCAGCTCCCCAGCGGGAAGAAAGGAGTTGGAGCGGGGAGGGAGTGGAAGTGCAGGACTGCTAAATAACCAGCTCTAGTAATCCGCACCAGGAGCACAGACACACATCGCACGGTGTGCTGGATATCAAAGAAACGGAAAAGTAAAATCTGCAAGCAGGTAACCGCAGCCGGCTCCCTTGGGACAAAAGGAAAGCGAGTGCTTTTTCAAAGTCTTAAAGGGACAGGGGTCTCACAGCTGGATGGAATCATCCCAGCACACTCAGCCCAGCAGCTGGGAATCCCGGGAAACTTCGGGTGCCCCAGTTACCTGGGAGGCAATGCAGCCCTGAGGCCCCTCACAGCACTAAACAGCCTGCAATCATGATTAAGTGGGATTTATCTCAGGGATGCAAGGATGGTACAACATTCGAAAATCCATCAACATCATCCACCACATCAACAAAAAGAAGGACAAAAAAAACCCCACATGATCATCTCCATAGATGCTGAAAAGGCATTTGACAAAATTCAACATCCATTCATGATAAAAACTCTCAACAAAATGGGCACAGAGGGCAAGTACCTCAACATAATAAAGGCCATATATGACAAACCCACAGCCAACATCATACTTAACAGTGAGAAGCTGAAAGCTTTTCCTCTAAGATCTGGAACAAGACAGGGATGCCCACTCTCACCACTGCTATTCAACATAATACTGGAGGTCCTCACCACAGCAATCAGACAAAACAGAGAAATACAAGGCATCCAGATTGGTAAAGAAGAAGTCAAACTGTCACTATTTGCAGATGACAGGATATTGTAAATAACAAACCCTAAAGACTCCACTCCAAAACTACTAGAATACTGGAATTCAGCAAAGTTGGAGGATACAAAATTAACACACAGAAATCTATTGCATTCCTATATACTAATGATGAACTAGCAGAAAAAGAAATCAGGAAAACAATTCCATTCACAATTGCATCAAAAAGAATAAAATAACTTAGGAATAAACCTAACCAAGGAAGTGAAAGACCTATACACTGAAAACTACAAGACACTCTTAAGAGAAATTAAAGAGGACACTAACAAATGGAAACTCATCCCATGCTCTTGGCTAGGAAGAATTAATATTGTCAAAATGGCCATCCTGCCTAAAGAAATCTACAGATTCAATGCAATGCCTATCAAAATACCAAAAGCATTCTTCAATGAACTGGAACAAATAGTTTTAAAATTCATATGGAACCACAAAAGACCCCAAATAGCCAAAGCAATCCTGAGAAGGAAGAATAAAGCAGGGGGGATCTCGCTTCCCAACTTTTAGCTCTACTACAAAGCCACAGTTATCAAGACAATTTGATACTGGCACACAAACAGACCCACAGACCAGTGGAACAGAACAGAGACTCCAGATATTAACCCAAACATATATGATTAATTAATATATAATAAAGGAGCCATGGACATACAATGGGGAAATGACAGCCTCTTCAACAGCTGGTGTTGGAAAAACTGGACAGCTACATGTAAGAGAATGAAACTGGATTATTGTCTAACCCCATACACAAAAGTAAATTCGAAATGGATTTAAGACCTAAATTTAAGTCATGAAACCATAAAACTCTTAGAAAGAAACATAGGCAAAAGTCTCTTGGACATAAACATGAGCGACTTCTTCATGAACATATCTCCCCGGGCAAGGGAAACAAAAGCAAAAATTAAAGTGGGGCTACATCAAACTTAAAACCTTCTGTACAGCAAAGGACAGCACGAATAGAACAAAAAGGCATCCTACTGCATGGGAGAATATATTCATAAATGACAGATCCAATAAAGGGTTGACATCCAAAATATATAAAGAGCTCACACACCTCAACAAACAAAAAGCAAATAATCCAATTAAAAAATGGGCAGAGGAGCTGAACAGACTGTTCTCCAAAGAAGAAAGTCAGATGGCCCACACACACATGAAAAGATGCTCCACATCGATTGTCATCAGAGAAATGCAAATTAAAACCACAATGAGGTATCACCTCACACCCGTAAGGATGGCCACCATCCAAAAGACAAACAACAACAAATGCTGGCGAGGATGTGGAGAAAGGGGTACCCTGCTACACTGCTGGTGGGAATGTAAACTAGTTCAACCATTGTGGAAAGCAATATGGAAGTTCCTCAAAAAACTCAAATTTTGACCCAGGAATTCCGCTCCTAGGAATTTACTCTAAGAATGCAGCAGCCCAGTTTGAAAAGGACATATGCACCCCTATGTTTATCACAGCACTATTTACAACAGCCAAGAAATGAAAGCAACCTACGTGTCCATCAGTAGATGAATGAATAAAGAAGAGGTGGTACATATACATAATGGAATATTATTCAGCCATAAGAAGAAAACAAATCCTACCATTTGCAACAACATGGATAGAGCTAGAGGGTATTATGTTCAATGCAATAAGCCAGGCAGAGAAAGACAAGTATCAAATGATTTCATTCATCTGTGGAATATAACAACAAAGGAAAAACTGAAGGAGCAAAAAACAGGAAGACTCACAGAACCCCAGAATAGACTAACAGTTACCAAAGGGAAAAGGACTGGGGAGGACGGATGGGAAGGGAGGGATAAGGGGTGGGGGGAAGAAAGGGGGCATTATGATTAGCATGCATAATGTGTTGGGTGGGAGCACAGGGAGCACTGTACAACACAGAGAAGACAAGTAGTGATTCTCAAACATCTTACTACGCTGATGGACAATGACTGCAATGGGGAATGTGGAGGGAACTTGGTGATGGGGGCAGTCTCGTAAACATAATGTTTCTCATGTAATTGTAGATTACTGATACCAAAACAAAAAACAAGAATGATTAATATCCTCACAATAGAGGACTATGCAACTGTAGGACAGATGAAAAGACAGAGGGAGGGTGAGGTCTATAAATTGATGTGGAATGGATCCCAAAATACATCATGTTAAGTGAAAAAAAGCAAAGCACAAGAGTATATATGCTACCTTTTGTGTAAAACAAAAAAAAAAGAGGAAAAGAAAATATACATGTATCTCATCATTTCTGAGGGAAGCACATGCAGGAAGTATAATTCAGAGAATGATGAAACTGGTTACCTTTAGAAAGTAAATGGAAAACAGAGTGGAAAGGATAGAAGAAATGAGTGTCAAAAATATGTACAATGCTGACTTTTTGATCCATGTTAATGTCTCACATACTCAAAATCAAGTAGTCAGATCAAGTAGGATGGTGAGAGAGACTTAGACTACAAATAGAACTGAACGGTACTTCAAATGACTAACATAACCACATGGGGAGGAAAGAATGATGGGGAGAGAAAATTAATCCAATTAACTTTTGAACATGGTTTTTAGATCAACGCTCCAACAGAATCATGAGAGCCATGTACATTATTTTCTACTAACTACTAATAAAATAAAAATAGGTGAAATTAATTTCACTACTGTATTTTATATCTAATATATCTAAAATACTTCAAACTATAATCAATATAAAAATGGTATTACATATTAATAAGGTATTTCATATTCCTTATTTCATTCTAAGTTTTCCAAATCCAGTGTGTGTTTTATACTTACAGCACATTTCAATTCATGTGGTTCATGGCTACCCTATTGGACGGTGGAGGTTTAGACTATATACCTTCAGGCTAAAGGAGACTATCAACAAGTATTGAGCTACATTTACTAGGTGTCTTTTAGTGATATGAGTTAACGATTCTTATATGATTTTCTGATATTCTTGGATTGAGCTAGCAAGTAAAAATATGATTATGAATATGGGAGTAGGATTCTCACTCTTGCAAGAAGTAGTTACACAAATGGAAAGAAAGGATAGAACACATCCTATAGTGCTGGACTGGAATCAGAGGTACCAGTATAAACTCACTGTTTTCAAAAGATGGATAAAGATGAACTGAGTGTGTGTGGATAAACACACATATTACATACATGTACTTCACAGAAGCCTGCTGAGAAGGCCTAAAAGCTATGATATCCAGTAGCAATGAGGATATCTAGAATCAAGATCCTGGCTTTCAAAGCCATTCTTTAAAACAGGAAGTAGAGCTCCCTGAAGAAAATATCTCATTCCAGGGCTCGGGCTTGGAAAGTGAAGATGAACCTAGAACATGCTGTTGTAGTAAAAAGTGAGGAAGTGACCATTGCAAAAAAGGAGACAGGAACCAACTTGAAGGACACCCACTGCCCAAATCAGGGAGAGCATCAAAATAAATAATGAAATAAAGTATTATAAGTAAGTGCAGAAAGAATGATGGAATTAAGAAATCACCATTTAGGAACCATCATGAAAATGATTCAGGCAGAAACCACCAATGAATACTAAAATTTGGGAGTAAAAGTTCAAGAAGAGGATGTAAAGTCCCAAAGTATTATTTCAAAGATAAGTCTAAATTACAAACAAAATGTGAATGTGCTTAATCCCACTTAACTGTACACTTAAAAATGGTTAAAATGGTAAATTTTATGTTAGGCATATTTTACCACTAAAAAAATTACAAAAGGAAAAACAGTAACTTTACACTGGAAAACCTGGCAGACACTAACTTAATGAAGTAATTCAAAATCACATTACCAGTATTTCAACATCTGTGTTTCCTGACATGATGCCCCGAGAAGAGTAGCATTACCTCTGTGGTACTCCTGCCAGAAATGGGTAACCTGAATCCAGTGATGAGAAAACATCAGATAAACCCAAATTAGAGGTATTCTACAAAATAACCAGCATGCACTCTTCAAATATATCAATGTCATGAAGAAAAAACAAAGACTGAGGAAATGGTCCAAATTAAAGGAAACTAAAAACATATGATAACTGAATGTACTCCATGATCCAGAATTTTCTTTAGCTATCAAAGTATATTATTGGGACAATGGGTGAAACTTAGACAAGTCTGTAGATTATATATTATATATATATATAGTTATATATATATAATACATATGCTAATATTAAATTAATGTTAATTTCCTGATTTTGACAAACGTACCATGGTTACATAAAAGAATGTCCTTGTTTTTAGAAAGCACACTCTGAAGCATTTAAGTATACAGGGGAATAGATCTGTACTCTACTCTCAAACAGTTCAAGAAATAAATATTGGGAGAGAGGGGGAGGGAGGGAGGAATGGAGGAGGAGGAAGGAAGAGAAAGAAATAAGGAGGGAGGGAAGAAGGCAATGTAGTAAACTGTTAACATTTGGGGATCTGGGTGAATTTTTTATACATTCTGAAAACTTTTCTGTAGTCTAACATAATGCCAACACAAATTAAACAGAAAAAAAAGATGTTACCATAGTCCCTAGCTCATAATCTGCAATCAATAAATGACATCTGTTAGATGTTGTTAATGAGAATATTATCTCTAGATTCTGCACAAAAATTTCCTTTAACTCAAGAGATATACTATTTTATGGTGAAAAATGAGAGGACTAAAATACATAGTTTGTTCCAATTAAATGTACTTGGGTAAATGCATACAAAAGACTAAAAAATATACACTAAACGGTTAATACTGGTTAGCTCTAGATAATGAAATTAAAGTGATTCTTATTTTCTTCCTCGTGCTTATCAGTATTCGATAGCTTTCTTATAATGAAGATGAATAACTTTAAAGCTTTACTCCAAAAACTATTTTCTGAAATTAAAGGGTAGCCCACAAAGTACATCATTGCTTTTCTAGAACAGTGCCCTCTGTGCAGACTTGTATTTAGTTATTGTATCTGAGTAACATATTCTGATACTTTGCCTCTCATATATTAAAATTACAGTGATCATGTAGTATCATTTCACATAAAAATATTCCCACTAATCTTATCAACTCATTTCAGTCTTGTGGGCTAGGAAAGTGGGGTGGATATACACATATAATTTTGCTCCTTCCCCAAATCCTACTAAAATAAGAGTAGTTTTTTTGTAACATCTAAATCAACAAGAATAGAGAGTAAAGAGAAAAAAAAACAAATGAATGCTAACTGTAGAGAAGATGGTGGAGAGCCAAATTGCGATCCCAAATTGGGCTGAAACCCAACCCAATTTACAGCCAGAAATCTATACAAGGGTTAAGAACGGCCAGCACAATCTCTGGAACTGGAAGTGGGGATGGGCACTAGGTGAAAGCTGTTTGAAGAGCACTTAGAACTTTAAATCCCCTCCCCTTCTTTGAAAGAAGACTTGTGGTTAACTCTGCAGAATGTAAAATACATGATCTCTGGCTTGGGGACTGAACTAAAAGTGCAGAGGCTTTTCTTTCAATCTGGGTGATTAAGTGAGCATTTTTAATGCTAAGATCTATTTCCCCCACCCCCATTCCCACACCAAACTACCAGAAAAATGCAAACTGTTCTAGATCGAAAGGGCCTACAAATATCCAGCACAGCATAAAAACACAGACCCACACCAAGGCACATCATAGTGAAATTTCAGAACACTGGGGACACAGCAGAGATCCAACAAGTGTCCAGTGAGAAGGTCCAACAAAAGACTATTCATGTTGGCTTAGGATTTCTCAACAGCTACAGAGGACAAGGAGAAAAAAAACTATGCCTTCAAAATTCTGAAGAAAATATTTCCAATCTAGAACTTTACACTCACCTAGACTACATTAATCAAATTTGAGAACAGAAAAAAAGACATTTTGACATGGAAAGGGTGAAAACCTTACCTCCCATGCACTTTCCCTTAGGAAATTAAGAGAACTGAGAATTTAAAGTTCCTACAAATTTAGGCAAAGACTGATTGTAGCCAACGTGTTGCCAGGAGAACCAGTGTTACCTCTATTCAAGTGATAAGGACAAATTACCTCAGCAGGCATTCTTTTACATGCCAACCAATCAGAGACTGATTCATCCCAGTAGACACACCTTGAGTGCCAACCAATCAACAAAGTCACCCAAGTAACCACGCTTATACACATGATGTTAATCCATTTCCACCTCTTAAAATCTTCCGGTCCCTGACTCCACACTTCCAGGGACACTATCGAAGATTAACAATCTGCTTTGTTCAGGAGACTGCACCTGACCAGATATGCTAGACAGCAGGTGGTGGCCTCATCATCCTTTGACACTAAATGAGGAAATAAAACAAACACAGGATATGGAAAACAGGATATCTAACCTAAAAGAAGTGAAGGAATATTGGTGAATGGGGATTCCAGAATTCCAGGATACTAACTGCACCAGAAGTAGAAGGCAACCTTGAAGTTATGTGACAGAAATAGGCATATTGAAGGCTCTCTGCCATAATACTTTTTAATCCAACACAACTACTATGTAGTTGTACTCTACCTAAGCAAGACAGCACATGAAGAAGGAAGAAGAGTTCCAACATCTGGAATTAAACCCAAAAGGAGAGAAAAGTCTAAGGATGTTAACAGAGGGAAATCATCCCAGGTAAAGCGCTATGTAGAAGATCCAGAAAGTAGGCATGGACTGGAGGACAATGAAGGTCTGCAGAAGAAAAGTTTCCAAGAATTTTTTTTTAAAGTAAAGAAAATTGGAATTGACAGATTACTGTGAGTGACCCTGTGGAAAACTGTACCAAGAGGCTACTAATTAAGAAGACAACACCAGCAAATGAAATCTGCACAGGCATAATAATATAAACACAACATTAACTATTTGCTTTAACCAAATATGGTACTATAACTAAATTGCGAGGTCAGGGAAGGAGTAGCAGTGGTGATGGTGGTTTAAGAACACTAAAACTTTCTCCACCATAACAGAAACTCTATAATAACAAGTTGGTGAATCAAAAGATAGTATTACACATACATTATTTTAAAATATGGAGATATGCAAATACCAGAAGAAATGGCTTAGGGAGTTGAAAGTGGTTACCTTTAAGGAGGGAACTAAAGAGTGGGGAGGGGTGGGATAAGAAGTATTCACTGTATGAACCCTTCTTTTTACTATGTGAAAATACTTTTTAAGCTATATTTCTGAACTAGATGTCTGTTAATAAAATAAACAGCAACAGGTGAACTTATATTGTTCATTCAAAATATATATAAGTAAAAATATATATATAAATAAAACATTTTCAAGTGAAAAGGACAAAAAAAGTCCTAGGGAAAAAGTTTTCCCTTCTCTGTTGGAAGACCTTCATATTTCCAATATCAAAAGAATATAAAAATACAAAATATAGAAGCTTTAAAAAAATTTTTTTAATTTTAAACAAATTATTACTAATTGAGGGGACAGACAGAATTCAGTAATTGCACTACTAGGAAGACTGTAGGTCTGACCTTACTTAAAAATTCATTAATGATCAAGAAGGTGCAAATAACACACATTTAATTAAATTTGCTCATTTATCTACTTTGGGAAGCACGATTAACAGCACTGAAAGACCAGTAATACAAAGGACTGAGATGGATGAAAAACACTGGCCCCAAACAACCACACTGGAGAGTGGATGGAAAGCTAGGTAAAATTACAGGCTTAAAATAACCAGAGAGGAATATCACAGGCTTATTTACCATCAATTTTACTGCATACTGTTGCAATGAAGTAAAGTTGGCCAAAATTAATGTCAAATGAGGAGATACACACACACACATATATATACACATAATAATCCTAATTAAGCAAGGACTCATGAAGGGATTATACCCTAAAAGCAAAGTACTACTGATGCAATTTGACAAGAGTAGTTTTATACTCACAATTTCTAAGTATAAAAACTCTATGAAGGATTACTAATAATGAATTAAATTGTTCCTGAAGACAATTAACTCTATTTTCTATCCTATATTCTTCATCTAGCTACACTCGGATTACCCTCATTGTTTCTGTTCTTTATTCCCAGGCACTGACATTAAAAAAAAAAACCTGTATTTCCCAGCCTCTCCAGCAGAAAGGTGTGGCTATATGACTAAGTTTCACCAATGAAATGTGAGCAAAAGGGGGTATATATAACTTTCTGGAAGAATTCTTAAAGGGAGGGAGATGTGTTATTTTATTCTTTTCTGTTCGTTGGAATGTGTATGAAATGGCTGGAGCTCCAGTAGCTATCTTAGACCATAAAGTGACTTTGGAAAAGAACAGAATCCATGTACAGTGTAGCAACAACATGGCATGATGACAAACCATACTAGTCTTAGACTAGTTCTGGAATTCCTGACATGGACAAAAATTAATTTCTATCATGTTTAAGTCTGTTATTTGGTTGCAACCAAACCTAATCCTAATTAATATAACCTCTATACTAATATACACTTGTTTTCCTTCTGCTCTTTGCTGGCTCCTTTTCTGCCTCTCATTTCCTTACTTTAAATATTCCCCGATATTCTACCCTTGGTCTTTTCTGTTCTTCTCCCACTAAGTTCTAAGCAAAACATTCTAATAACTTCATGTCTCTATAAGCCTGCTCTTTCATTTTAGCTCTAACTTTATCTCCAGCTGCCTATCATTTCACTTGTATGAGACACAATTATACATGAACCTATGTAATTTTTAAAACAAAATAGACAAAATGGTGGTGGTAGCTAGAGTAGTTGTTGTAATGGTAATAAATGGCTAATATTTACTGAGCTCTTAGTATGTGCCAGGCATTGTCCTAAATCTAAGAGCTAATTCTCACAATAACCCTTTGAAGAAGCGAGTATTGTCACCATTCCCATTTTAAAAATGAGGAAACTGAGACCCAGACAAGTTAAAT